AAGCAGGAGACCTAAGCGTTCTTAGACGAGACTAAAACCATGCCTTTTCACACTCATGATGCAGGGAGAGAATCAGTAACAAGTATTTCACATCAAAACACACACACACAAAAAAAAAAAAAACCCTACGGGAATGTTGTCTGATGCAGTCTTTGCTCCATGAAGCCTCCCTTTCACAATAACTGTTCAAATTCTATCAAAATATGACTTTCAAGTAAATGAAAAAAAAATTCTACACTATACCAAAAATATAGTAACAGAGGTAAGAATCCTGGAAACTGCTCAGCTGCCTGAATAGTCACAAAGAAAAGATTCATTTTCACCCAACAATTGCAATGTTTGTCTCCTTTTTAGAAACATCTACTGCCAAAATAAGCATGTGCACTCCGAGATGAGATTTGGCTGCAAAATGGTCCCAAAGAAAAATGCTTCTGTTCCGACATACACATCTTACTCCAAACGCGCAGTGAAGGAGACATGGCCAGATAGTAGATGGTAAATAAACACAGACTAGAATGCCCACCATCTGAAGTCATCCTCAAAGGAGTCTGTTCTTAATTTAGTTTCCATCTCAGTATAAACTGGTATGCTCCAGTACAACACCCTAACGAAATTACTAACTTCTACTGAATTTGGCTACTTTCAAAACAATGATCATGTCCTGTGCTTTACTGTAAAGGTCTTCAAAAAACTTGGGTTTTCTCATAAAAACACTCACATGCGGAGTGTGGTGGCACAGGCTTTAATCAGAGCACTGGGATAGAGAGGGGGAATCGCTGGGTTCCACACCAGCCTGGCCCACCTGCTTGAGAGAAAGACACTGTCTAAGAAAAAGGAAGAAAGGAGGAAGAGAGGGAGGGAAAAAACTAAGCTAAAAACAGGGATCTCTAATTCCTTCCATTTCCCCAGCTGTATAATGACCACAGACTCCTCTCCCAAATTGCAGCATGATAAAGATGCTAACCCATTGACTCCCAAACCCGGGAGAGAGCCTCCGGAGGTATCTGAAATCTACTGACAAAAACAAATAGAAGCTTCTATGGTCTACGATCTTTAACTGCTACTTATTTTGTATAAAACTCCCTAGGGTGAACACGCAAAGACCGTGTTAATGAGCAAAGAAGTCGAGAAAAAAAAAGCCAACCTCTGTGCATGCACACCCCTGATCCAGCCAAGAACACCCTTGCTGCTTCTATAGGCAAAAACGCAAACTGAAAACCCAGTCAACATGTGACAAGCCATACCTTTGTGTGGCTCTGTCCTAGATGAAGTCAACGATATGCTTCTGCTAATCACAAGGTCTGCTCCAGGAGCCTGGAGGCAGAACATTCTCCACAGAGCAGAGAAAATTCATTCCCCCTCAACTCAATAAAAATCCAAACACAAGAGTTTTTAAGGCTACGCAAAGCAGATAGACCTGTTTGGGCATACATCTGCCTGGTGACGTGGGAGAGCAAGGACTGAAGACACAAATCTAGTTCCAGTCCATAAAGACTAAAGTAGCACGCTATTATCACACCATGCTTCAATAAGTCAGTCATGGGTACATTTCAAATCTAAAACTACCATGACACAAATCAAGACCATTGTGTTTAATGCTAGTATCAAACACTCGGTGGCCACTCCCTCCCACTGAGAGACACAAAATAAGCAGAGATGCTGTGGACGTGGAATTCCATCCGAGCACTACGGTTCTAGTGGGGCACACATTTAAAATTCCTATCACAGGAGTAGAATGCCAGCCAAAAATCAAACTGTGACCCCTGAGCCAAAGGCAACTTACCACTCAGCTGGTAAGTGGGCAACTCAATTTACAAAGCTGAATTCCTGCATTTTAATCCTCTGCAGAAATACATGAGCAATGCTAAATGAACTAGATGCAGCTCATTAGAGGTTCACAAACCAAACACAGGAAACTGGACGACATCCAAAGCAAAGGCATGCCTAGGTGGCGATGTCCACTCAATGAACACTCAACGTCATAATTATCTCCCAACCTCTCCTCTGAGAACATCAGTCCTGCACTTATGCTCTATCACAGTGCTGAGCCAATCACACTGATCCTAAGACAAGACGAAGGGACAGCACAGCAGCCAGTGCCTGGACCTTACTGCGTATACATTATCATTTCCAGATCTCGGGGGGAGAAAAAAGACCAAAGTCCAGTACAGTGACACACAGGGTGTGTGCACATGAACTACCAGCTATTTCTCAAACCACTACTAATTGCTCCATTTCAACCTATTAGGAACCGTTCCATGGATTTGGTATTACAAATGCCGCATGAACTGAGAGAGGGTGTGCCTCAGCAGGTGAATGCTGCAAGCACCTGTGAAGTCCTGAGTTTAATACCTAGCACTGGGGGGAGGGAGGGAAATCAATATCTGAAGCTGTGTCTCCTTTACAATGTTGACAAACATTCAAACAGAAATCTAACCCCAGTTATTTTCTGAAATTTCAAAATGAGGCAAAATAGTCTTATAAATGCGTGAGGGGGTGAAATTAGGCAGACAGAGCCCTAATCATGATTAACTTGTTACGAAAGCTTGAGATCTTCCACAGCTGGCATATTCGCCTTCTCACCTAACTTACTATCTTCATTATCAAAAGGATCTGTGCACCTGAATTGGACATTCCTTTTTGATTAGCAGAAAACACCCAAACTAAAATTTCAATTAAAAGTGTGCTGAGGGCAGGAGAGACGATTCAATGGGCAAGGATGCTTGCCAAAAGCCTGAACTGGGTTCAACTGCTGGGACCCATGTGGTAGACGAACAGAATCAATTCCTTCTGTATTTTGACCTCTGTACTCATGTTGTGACTTATACTAACTACTAATGTTTTTTTTAAAAAAAATCAAACAAGTCAGGCAGTGGTAACAAACAACTTTTAATCCCAGCACTCAGGAGGCAAAAGCAGGCAGATCTCTTATGAGTTCAAGAGCAGCCCGGTCTACAGAGCAAATTCCAGGACAGCCAAAGCTACACAGAGAAACTCTTTCTCAAAAAGTCAAAGATTGAATGAAGGGAAGAAGGAAGGACGGAAGAACGGAAGGACAGAAGGAAGAAAGGTATACCACACAGAAAGCATTTGCTACAATACTTGATGTATAACCAGCAATTTGTTCTTTCAAGTAAATCTAAGAGTTATCAGATTTCAAAGGCATGTAAAGATCATGGGGTTACATTAAAACCAGAAAGGTAGGAAAACTGAGACTGTATTTCAGTGCAGACCTACTTTTCCCCACACACTGGAGGAAGAGAATAATGTAAAGAGATTTCCTTGGTAACCATTCTTCACAGACTTTCTGTATTTGGCTCTCACTCTGGCTCAACAAACTAGGCCAATGTCTAAAACTAGCAAGACTTGAACTCAGAAGAGAGACAAGTCTGCAGCTCCTCCGGGAATGCCTTCCCAACCTGGCGTCAAAGAAACGGGCTGGGAATCAAGAGCGCTAGCATCCCAAGGCTTCAGCCCCGGCTTTCTCTGCCTCTCTGCCTCTCTCCTTCTGCAGCAGACAGAACTGTTCACCCATCAGATGAACTGCAAGTGCCAGGAGGCCTTCAGCTTCCTGCTGCACTGGGCTCCTTCCTTCACAGAGAGGACGTAAACTCTAGTAACACAAGGTTCTTGGTTGGGGTTGGCAGCCCAGAGTCACTTTCTTATCTATCAATTATCTCCCCAGCACACCCCCCCCCCGCCCCAATCAGAAGTGTCAACTCTGGAGATAGTAAAGCCTGGCAGAAGAAAGGATAACCTGGGGTAACAGGAGGCAAAGGGTAACCTGGAGTAACAGGAGGCAAGCTGATCCTTGCACTCAGAGTTGTTCTTTGACAGTGTGGAGCTATGCCGCCAATAATGCTCTAGTGCAAAGTAAGGGACCACACTAGGACTGAAGGGCTGACCTAATTCCATCTTTCCTTTAACTGCAAGATGAGGACAGACAACACTCAGCTACAGAAAACGGCCTCAGGAGCGAGCAGTGAGCAGCTCAACATCACATAAAATGTAGTCAATGGCTCTTCACATCCACTTTCTAGAGAACAAGCTCTGGCCGACTTGTTTCCTCACGGAAGAGTTTCAGTGAAATGTGGAGAAGAAATTCCTGGGAGGAAGGTCTGTTAATGGCTGCCATGGCTTAGGGGGCAGCGTTACAGGACCGCCCCAGTTCAGAGGCAGTAAAATCATTTCCCCCTCTGCCAGGCACAGCCTTCCTGGTGCTCCTTGGTCACTAAGCACCCTGACAAGCCTGAATCTAATTGTGTCCTTTGCAAGGTCTGGGCCTCCTCAGGCCGCTGAACAAGCAAACTCTAAGACCCCGGAGACCCTGAGCTGAGCTGGTGCTGCTAGCTGGACAACCATGTGTGGTTAACGACACTTGACTCTGAAAGGGAGAGAAAGATGGGGGCTTTTGTTTAAGAACAAAAAAGGCTTCTCCTATCCAAGACAACTAACCAAATTCACAAATGAAATCAGAAGCCTTTTCTAGACAAACCACAGAAAGAGTGTAACAGAAGAAGCTTTCTGGGAAACCTGAGCTGATGCTAGCCCAGGCTGGTGGCAACATCTGTAATCTCACCACTGGGAGACCAAGCTTGAGGACAGCCTGGGCTAACATGATCAGACTAACTCAAACAACAACAAAACAAAGCTTTGAAGGACTACAAAATCCTCCGTGAAGTCTTCTCACAACTCCGTATCTGAAGAGTTAACCTCAGAAATGTGAGAAAGTCAAGGTCACTGGGAGTAGCAAGTCCCCAGTCGACCAAGCAGGAACTTTGCCTACTTTGTTACAAGATCAATTTCCATTTTTAAAAAAGAAAAAACAAAGTGAAAATGGTCTACTTCATCACAAGTTCAACTTTCCATCTTTAACAAAGAAAAAAGGGGGTAACACAGAAACACCCTCAAATTCTCTCAATACCAGTAACACAGAAATCAAAAAGAAAAAAAAAAGCTATCACTACAACAGGTGAAGGCAGAGATAAGCTGGCACCAACCTGCTGCTGTGGGTACTGCATGCCTCCCAGGGCCCCTGGAGCCCGGCCCTGCATGCTGAGGGGGTACCGCTGTGCGCCTGGGGGACCATAGGAGCCTCCTGGGTATGGACTGCTCTGCTGTGGCTGGGAATGGGGGTGAGTACCCATCCCATACAACTGAGGCCTCTTCATCACCATTGGATCCATTGGACTGCCCTGTGAAGAAATAAAGAAGAGAGTTTATTAGCTATTACTTAAAACAAATACGGATTCTGAATCTTAATACATACATAAAACACAACAATCTAAATCTTGAGATTAAAGACCACAATTCCAAAAAATACTAAGCTAGAACATTAAAGGAACGAGACATTTTTTAAAACTAACTTTCAGAAAGTATTTTAAAATTAAGAAGATCTAGAATAAATAAAGAGAAACTTTACATCTAAGTACCTCGACTCCTAAAAAGCATACAGAGAACGTGATTACAATAAGGATAAAGATGACTGGCAACACTTTTGATTCAAAGTTATCACAGCGATGACATTTTAGACCTGAAATCTACAGAGCCTGAGGGAGCCCAGTGCCCAAGTATTCGCTGAAGTAAAAAGAATTTTAGATAATGCAAAATGCTTTCACATAAACATTTCCAAAGATAGTGAGTGTGTAGCAATAGCCCCAGACTGGGAATCACAAGCTAGTAAACACCTTAGCAAAAACACTAGTTCAAAGTTAACTCTGAATTTTATTTTTGGTCTGGTGAGTCAGTCCTTGGGCCTCAGGGCCAAGGCCAGAGAGGCAGGAGCAGAGGTCAAGCAGGGCCTTCTCAGAGCAGCAGGGCTGCAAGGGAAGCCCTCGCCTGAGACCACAAGGCCCAGGGCACTCTCAAGCGGATCCTTCTCCCCAAACCTACTGTGTGCCAGGCTCCCACACAAGCTGGTGAGGACTCAGGAAGAACTGCGGACTAACTGGGGAGCCAGGCTCAGGGAAGGGAGGTGCAAACTGAACTCCAACTTTAGAAGCGAAGCTGCCTGCTGTGCCTGCAGAGGACATGGAAGCTACTGGTATGTGTGATGCAGGAGACTGAAGATTTGCTGCAGAAGGCTGAGGCCAGAGTATGAGCCAAAACCTGACAGGTCATCTCAGGCTGCCTCTTCCGATGACCCTCTGGGTGCTTTTATAGAAGGCTGTCACCGGAGCCACCTGTCAGGATTGTTCTCTCAGGAAGTGGCTGAAAGCAGGGCCAGCTGCCATACTGGGCAGGTGAGATAGAGGTCCTGTGATGGACAGGCAGCAGTGATGAGACTTCAGACACCACACACACACACACACACACACACACACACACACACACACACGAAGTCTCAGAGTCTACGAAGTGATGGAAGGTGGGTGGTAAGACACAGATTAAGTAAGGAATATGCAATGGAAGAAAGACTGGGAACCAACAGTGATGTTGGCACGAAAGGTGATTCTTCCAGGGGCACAAAGTAAATGTTCAATAAGCACAGGGCGAGTTAGCAAGTAAAGGCCATTCACTTTATCCAGGGAGAATGGCCAATGGGGAAGAGGATCAGGAATGTAAGGGCAGCTGGATATAGTTTGAGACTACATTAACAAGACCATTTTGAAAGGCAATATGGGAAGGGAAGGAGGAACAGAGAGAATGAGGGGTGGAAAAATAAATTAGGAGAGCAATACTATTTAGGCAAGGGGGGCATGGACCATAAAGAAACCAAAAGTGTCTGAAACAGCAGTTAGAACTGCAGGGAGCATGTTGTCACCAAAGAGAAGGCAATCTCATGGAGCGACAAAGCAGGCCTGCCACCCGAGCCCAGCAGGCCACACAGTAAAGGTGGAAGGCCTGTAGGAACATTTGGCTAGGGCAGGTGCCTGCTGAGCTCTGCAAAGACAGTGTCACCAGCAGAACTGAGGCATAATAGTGAGGGTGAAAGAAAGAGGAGCAGCAAGCAGTGCGCCCCACAACCCACAGCTGAGGAAGGGGAGAATGGCCAGCTTCCCCTCCCTCCATGTCCCACCACAAGACTGCAGGTGGTCATTTCTCCTGGGAGTGAAATAACCCAGGGGAAGTCATCTGGTGGGGGGTTGTTTTTGTGATTTGATGACAGCTGTGTGCTCAGACTGTGATGATTTTAGCAGTGAGGGTGTGCACTTCACACTCACAGGAGAACAGGAATGAGCAGCCATGTCGATGGTGGAGAAGATTTGGGGGGAGGGAGAGACATCATGATACTAGTACATAGAGGGATAAGGAGATGCAGGGATACAGGGATGCAGAGGTGCAGGGATCAGGAATGTAAGAATCAGGGGTGCAGGAATGTGGGGATACAGGGATCAGGGATGCAAGCAGCTGACACACTGTCTCAGTGGTAGGAGAAAAGAAAGAAACTATGGGAAACACTTGGCCTCAGCCAGAGGACCCCCTGCCCCCAGGGACAGTTCTGTGGGTGCAGAGCATGGACCGACACTGCGTGGAGCACAGAGAAAATGGGGTCACACCACCTAAGAAAATTCACAAGTTTGGGGATTTAAAGTCTTTTACTTTCACCAACCAAGAACACTGAACCTAAAATAACTGGAAATGAGCAAGAGCATATGGTTTCATTCAATCAGTACACTCCTCTTCCATAGCCCTGGCCTGCCTCGCAGACACACATGCTAGTATGCCTGTGGCAACAGCAAAATCTAGAACTAAGCATTTCCTCTGAATATTTACATTACAGTGTATGCTTGTGAAAGCAGGGTGTAATTTTTCTCCAGATTTTCTTTCCAACGATAAAGCAAGATTTTCTTTGGCAGTGTGAAAAATCAAGGTTGAGCCGGTAATTTCAAAACCAGCGAGGGAACGGCGGCCCACAGAGAGGCTGCACACATTCCCAATCAGGTCAGAGAGCCATCAGCACGGCTGCTGCGGCTCAGCAGCACTCAGGCAGCACGAACATGGGGATTCTACTCTCCTCCCTCTACACAACGCCCGACCTAACTACGTGAGGAAAGCACAAGGTCTAACTGGGCAGGAAGTGAGTCGCCTGCACGGGGCACTACCACAACGCAGCACTTGCCTCACCCGAGACGAAACTGTTTCATAGTATCTATCTCAGCAACTCAGTCCACTTCAAGATGCAGCTAATTTGCACTCCAGTCAAAAATGTTAGCTTAGCCCTGAGACTTCTGAAAATCAAGAACGTGAAATGCAGCGCATCTCTGCCTCAAAGGCATCGGATCGCTCACGAGACTATAACGCATATTATTTAATTCTACCCTTCTCTCCTTCCATCCGATTATTAGGCACTCATCCACAATCCAAATTCATCCCTTGTGAGCCTGCTGATGTGAACATTGAAACATGCAAAGAAGTATCTCAGCTCCTCACTACGAGAACTTCAATCAAAACCAAAACTTTTCCCGAAAAGCTAAAGGCTAGGTTAGGCCTCGTGTGCACATATACCCTTAAATCATTTGTTTGTTATCATTCGTCCTGTTAGAATACTTTTAGAGTATGACCATTTTCACTTCTCACACAGACGGTATGCTGTACCAGGCACCGTCCACAGTCACCTCACTGGGTGGGGTTTTTCTCCCCAAGCAGCATCCCACAATGCTACACCTGAGTGTCAACCCCACAAGACAAATCCATTGCCAGACTGGATTTTATTACTTGCTAAGCCTCTGTATTCACACAGCCCTGCTCTTCCCCCTCTTCCTCTAGGACACACACACTTGATTTGCCTGGTCTCTCTTGGGGGCCTAATGTCTTCCCACAGGCTCTGTTGTCCCACCCGGGAAGAACGGACTGAGGAGGGGTACGGCAGAGTTTTCAAGCATGTCTGTGTTCAGACTCCAAGCACACTGGTAACCGAGTCCAGCTATATTCTGGCTTCCAAAGCTGACCTGGGAATCCCCTTTTATAAATTACCCAAGTCGAAAGATAGCAGCTCGTGTATCTCTAGCATAACTTAGATCGCCATTCAGAGTCACCTTATCAGAATATGCCTAGTACGTATTTATAGTAAAGATACCTATGTAATTTTACTTTATCCCTGAATATCAAATTAAGGGCCTAGTTTACTAAAGGTTTTGCTATGATTTTCCTAGCCCAGTTCCCTAAACCACAAAATGGATAAAGATATTTGCATACAGAACAGGCTCCAAAGCTACAGAGAAACCCTGCCTTGGAAAAAAAAAAAAAAAAAGATATTTGAGATATTTGCAAAACCCCCAGGAAGAACCATCACAGGTCAACCCACAACTGTCTGCACATCCAGCTACTACAAGAGCTCACAGAAAGGGAAAGGTCCCCCTCTTCTCACTGGTGGGAAGCAGTCTTCTGCTGGTAATATTCCAATCACCTGCAAAGCTGACAAAAGTAACCAAGCCCAGTACAAATAAGTATTTGAACAAGCAGTATAAAAAGTATAAATGGGGGCTAGCAAGATGGCTAGTGGGTAAAGTTTTTATCAACAACCTGAGTGGGGCCCTAGAGTCCCCATAAGAGAAGCGGCAACAGACTTCTGCTGCTATGTACACTATGAAGATGTGTCTTTGCCAGGCGCCTTCTGACTGGTTTAATAAAGAGCTGAGTGGCCAATAACTAAGCAGGAGAGAATGGGAAAGACTTCTGGGGAGACAGAGGAACTGGGGATAAATTTGCTGTGGCAGGGAGACACTAAAAAAGTTGGACATGCAGTACAGAGAAGAGGTAAACCACAAGGCAGAAGGCAGATTAATAAAAACAAATTAAATTATAAAAGCTAGTTGGGGGAAAGTCCAAGCTAAAGGCCAAGCTTTCATAATAATAAGTCTCCATGTCATTATTGCTGAGCTAGGGGCCCAATAGAAAATCAGATACATCTGCAAGCTGTCCACTGGCCTCCACACACACTCTATGACGTGTATGCACAGGCAGAAGCACACACGCACACAGAATTAGTAAGGGCTACCAAGTGCCTGTCACCCTGCAACCTAAAAGTTCAAAGAAAAATGGAACCAATCAAACTAAACCACAATCACAAAAGCTATGCACAAGCCTTACTATACCAGGACAGTGGGGGTGTGAAAGTGGGAAGATGGAAGATGCACAAAATAGGTAAAGTTCTCCAATGTGATGCACAGTTATGGTTCTTCAAAACTGATGCTGATGACCATGAGGCCACTGGAACCTGTGAAGAGCTGTCACTCACAAAGCAATCTTCTCT